CATTAAAGCCGATCACAGCATCAAGCTCCAGCTCGGCCACGTTGGTCTCGGGTGAAATTTGTACATCCATAGCGGAGCCTCAGCTCTTTCACTTCTTAGCTCAAGGGTGCAGCGTCTCCTGGTCGTTATGGTAACTGGTGCACGCATGCGCGCTAGGTTTACGCCAGAGCAGAAACAGCCTCCGGTGTTGGAGTTGAGTTACCCTTTGCAAAGGCAGGCAGAGTTTCCTAATTATTTTTTCAATAACGTCTCTAGAAACTTGGGGGAGGGGCACTAAAAGCGCGGATAACCCCCCCCCTTATAAAGTTTGTGACTTTTGTTTTTGGTAGCTATATAGTTACCTAATGCCATTTTAAAAATAATTGAACCCAGAGAATTACCTCTGATGAATGAATAGGCTGCTATAAAATAGCATTGAATCGATAGCTCCTTACATTCTTTGTTTGAAACAGAGTAAAAGAATTTAAAGAAATCTTTTAAAAGTTTATTAAGGTAGGCAACTATTTTAAAATTATTTATGTATGTATTTTCTGCTTCTGCCTTACAAGTGCTGAGATTACAGGCCTGAGCCACCACACCCGGCTTGTTTTGTTGTTTTTGAAATCGCAAATTTTTAAAAGAATTCGGAGTCCCTGGAAAAGACTTTGATTCTGTTCAACATTTTAACAATTTTCCTAGTGCCCAGAACTTCGCGTGTCTTAGTGGAAATCGATAGTTGCAACCTATTGTTCACTAGGAGGGCACTTCGGGCGACCGTGGGGGCGCGGTCTTGAGGCCCCGGGGCAAGCATTCACTTTGCAAACTCAAGGCTGTGGTCGCGTTTGGAACCGCGGGGAGTGAGCCGATCGGGCCGCCGTAGTCAGCTGCTGCGAGCAGGAAGTGTCCAAGGAGCGGGCGGAGACTGCAGGATGGCCCCGGACCCCTGGTGAGCCCCGGGTGGAAGTGGCGGTCGCGGAGAGACCTGGGGTGCGGCCGGGGCTTCTAGGGACGCCCAGAGACCCTGGGCCGGTGCTGTGCTGGAACCTGGTGCCTTTCGGGATGAGGAAAGTGGCAGCGAGGACCCTCCCCCTGTCCGGGACTCGGGCTCCATCCCGCCGCCCTGTGCTGACCCTGGTGGTCTGGGAGGACACGGGGGACCTGGGCGGTGGGGATGCAATAATCCCAGATCTCCTCCCACCTCTGCGGGGCTTCTCCCAGGGATTTCCCGCCCATGCTGTTGTGGTTGTCTGGTGCAGACTTCCCTGGACTCCTGTAAAAGTAGGATAGAAATAAAGACTTCACGGTCGCCAGTTAGTGAATAGTTAGCTGGACGTTGATGCTGTGGGCCCTTCAAAGAAGAATTTCCGGAAATCTGGCGGGGGGGCGGGGTGGAATTTGCACTTGCTATAAGGCGTCCTACTCTTAACTGCGTCAGTATCATGAAGACTTTTGTCAGCAAGAACTGCAGAAAATAACTGAGAAAGGCCGTTTAGCAATTAAGTCCCAAGGGCAGAATGATGAAAGTTACAAGCTCTGATTCCAAAGAACAAATTGCTATACTTCACAGTCTTGACCTTCCTGCTTACTAATTTGTAACATGTAGTTCTAGTTAGAGTATATGTCTATATTGGTGTCTCTAGTACAGTTTATAATTGTTTAAGTTACAGACAGTTTGAATATTTGGACGGCGGATCAAAGTCAGAGTTAGGGATACCTGGGATCTAGGGTATTTGGGCCAATTGCTGCATGTTTCTGTTTTTGTTTTTTGAGACAGCATCTCATGTAGCTCAGGTTGGCCTTGAACTCCCTATGTAACAGAGGGTGGCCTCAAACTCCTGACTGACTTTTTCTTCTATCTCCCAAGAGCTGGGATTATCGTCCTGTGTCACTCTGCCTAGCCAGTTGCCAAATTTAACACTATTTTTCCCCCATCTAATTTTATCAACTGTATACACCTCGTCTGGTAGAAAACTTAGGGAATACAGATTGTTTGTAATAAAGAAAATAGATAGCGTCCTTATCATTTGGAAATATCCATTGTTGACTTCTTTTCAGTGAATTTATTCTCATCTCTTACTACTTGGATTTTCAAAATGAAGCATTTCTCTATGTCATTAAGTCTTCTTGGAAAACGTGATTTTATGGTGCATATTACAATTTATTTTAGGTTTAAGCATAGTGGTACCAGGTGCAAAGCCCTGTGTTTGGTCTCCATAAGAGAAGAAACTTTTCAACTATCAAGTGAGAAAAGCCACTGAGTCAGACAGTTACGACTAAAGTTAAGAAGTTCAGAGGCATCAGTGTCTCCTCTGCCCTCAAGTTCTCTGCATAGAAGTATCTCCTCCTGTAACTCTAGTCTCAGTAGACTGCCATGGCAGACTCTGCAGAAACTGATTTCTACCAATCTCTCCTGTTTGAGCTGTACGCCTTGTACCAGGACTACCACTTGGCAGAGCATGCCAGGCATGTCTTCTTCGTTTCATTGTTGCTTTTGCCACATGCTTCCACGGTGTTTAAAATTTGCTTTAATCTGGAAGGTAGCCCAAGATGTCCCTTTGTGGTCCAAGGCATATGAGTGCCTCTGTTAGCAATAATTTCTCCTACCTCATAACTCTAGAAGTACTTAATTTAGATCCCATATTGATAGGATTTTGTTAGGGATTTAATTTTTTTTTTATGTGTACAAGTGTTATACTTGTATATGTGTATGTGCAGCTGTGTCATGCAGTACCAGTGGAGGACAGAAGAGGGCATCAGACCCCCTGGAACTGGAGTTGGGGAGGGTTGTTAGCCCCCCATGTGGGTACTGGGCTTCAAACCCTGGTCTTCTACAAGAACAGCCAGTGCTCTTAATAGTTGAGCCATCTCTCCAGCCCCTTTGTTAGGGATTTTATATTTGATCCGAGATCACAGAGCAGACTGAAGCACCTCTCTTCATAGATGACAGTATGGAGGCAAACAGCTAAAAGTGTGGGAAAGCTGGGGCTTTCCTTATTACCCCTCTGTTTTCTTAATTATGCATTGTTTTGAATCATTGCTCTTTTTATGCACATTCATCTGAATATAGTAAACAGTGGGTACTGATGTATATATGAGTCTAGGGTTAGTAGATGAGACTGCTTCTGGAAGTGCTTATGAAGTTAATAATGTCAAGAGGCTGGAGAGAATGGCTCAGTGGTTAAGAGCATTGGCTGCTCTTGAAGAGGATCCAGGTTCAGTTCCCGGCACTCACGTGGCTGCTAAAAACTGTCCTTAACTCCAGTTCTGGGGGATCCGATGCCTTCTTCTGGCCTGTGCAGGCATTGTATGTATGTAGTGCACTTACATACATGCAGGCAAAATGTTTATACACATCAAATAAATTAAGAAAAACAATGTCAAGGTCTCAGTGTGGGACCTGGCTCAGGTCAAGAATTCAAGTTTTGGCCATTGCTGCAGTCACTGTAGTGGGATTCCCAATAATTGGAGCACAGGTATAAGCTATCTGTGGAAGTCTAAAGATTAGTGCTAGGTAAGTACTATACCACTGAGCCACGTCCCCAGCCCAAGCTGGAAGATTTTTCCTTTTTATTTTTTTGTAGTGCTAGGGATTGTACCCAGTGCCTTACATAGCTAGACATGTGCTTTACTACTGAGCTATACCCCTAGTCCTTTTTTAAGTTTTAATTTGAGACAGAGTTTTGCTAAGCTGCCTTGAATTTGCTGTATAGCTTAGACTGCCTTGAGGTCAGGATTCTCTTGCCTCAGCCTCAGAGTAGCTGGAATTATAGATAGGCATGTTCCACCATGTCCAGCAATGCAAGATTCTTAAGAAATAGTTTCCTAAGCACAGAACAGTTTTCCATCTTGTAATTGAAAGTCTTTGCAAACACATAGTCACATGAACACAGAGCCTCTGCATTTTAGGAGCAAACTGGCATGAGGAATAAGATGTGCATGCACACAGTATTTTCTGGAAAACAGGAAGTGAACATTCAGTAATAAGGCCAAATCTAGGTGCTGCTTGGTGTTCATTTGAATCTGTGAAAGCCCTCAACACTATTGGATGGCAAGTAGAAGACCAGTCAGTGTTTTGAGAGAACTCTGGCAGGCTTAGGGGTCAGTCAGGCTTCAATGTTTTGCTGCAGATGCAGTTACTGCTGTTCCCTGCAGAATGGATCTACATGGCAGCTCTCCCTAGGCCTCAGTGTCTTCTGTCTGAAACAGCACCTCCCTTATTACTATCACCTTATCCCATCTTTCTTAGTATACATCAACACCTGACATACTGTATATTTATTTGTTGTGTGCCATTCTCCCTTCACTGGAAGGTATACCTCTTGAAAGGTGTACTTTGTCCGTTTTGTTTAGTGACTAGAACCAGTGTTAAGCTTAGCACAGGTTCTCCAGGAGTATTTGCTGAGTGTTTTACGAAGTATTGAATGTGGAGCTTGGCATAGTCTTGCATGTCTATAATCCTAGCACTCAGGAGACTAAGATTAGAGAATCATGAGTTGAAGGCCAGCCTGGACTACAAAGGGAGATCCAATCTCAAAAATAAGTGAACAGAGAACAAGTCAAAGGAACGAATACAAATGCTCAATCATGTGCATAATAGCTTGGTGCTTAAGAGCCCAGGCTCTGGGCCAGGCAGCCTTGATTTGCTGTTGGCCATAGAACAAGTAAGCTCTGCCTCTTTGTACCTGATTTCCTCCTGTCAAGATGGAGATAGTAATGGTTCCCTCCCCCTAGGGTTCTTGTGTTGATTAAGTGAGTTGTTATCATAGAAGCATTGAATGGCTGGGGCACATAGGAAGCATGGTCAAGGTCATCACATGTTGCCATCCCAAGTCCTGCTTGTCACTCTCCCCTTCGCTTTGGTCTTGTGACCACAATGAAAAACAATGCAGGAATTTCTTTTAAAGAACCCAAAACAACATTTTTCTCTTTCTGTGTCTTTGATACAGGTTCTCCACATACGATTCTACTTGTCAAATTGCCCAAGAAATTGCTGAGAAAATTCAACAACGCAATCAGTATGAAAGAAGAGGTGAGAAGGCACCTAAGGTAATAACAGGACACGATTAGTGCCTACAGTGATCTCAGTGTTTGAGCTTTGAGGGAGGTCTGAATGTCTAGACCAGAGACTGTGTGTGTGTGTGTGTGTGTGTGTGTGTGTGTGTGTGTGTGTGTAGAGAGGAGAGTGTGTGTGTGTGTGTGTGTGTGTGTGTGTGTGTGTGTGTGTGTGTCTGTGTCTGTGTCTGTGTGTATGTGTGTGTGTGTGAATCTTTGAAGTCTTTGAAGTGTATTTTAGTATTTTGTCAGTATCTAATTTATTTGGTAGGTATAAGTCCCTTCTAAGATATAAAATAGAAGGCTGAGTGTGGTGGTGCACACCTTTCATCCCTTTAATCCCAGTGCTCTGGAGGCAGAGACAAGCAAATCTCTGTGAGTTTGAGGTCAGCCTGATCTACATGGTTAGTTCCAGGCCAACCAGAGATACATAGTGAGACCCTGTCTCAAAAACAAAAACAAAACACCAAAAAGATATGAAATAGGGTCTGTTTCACTCACTGAATTTTTACACAACTGTGTTCCTTACTTTCTCTGTAACACTGTTCACACTGTTGATATCTGCTTGCATCAAACTCTGTGTGTGTGTGTGTGTGTGTGTGTGTGTGTATGTGATGTGTATACATATTTATGTGTGTGGGTGTCCATGTGGAGGCCAGAGGTTGATGAGTGGTGTCTTCCTCTAATTGTTCTCCACCTTATTATTTATTTATTTTTATTTTATGTGTATGAGTGTTTTGTGTGCATGTATCTAAGTGTCCCCGTGTTATGCAATGCCTATGGAGGTCAGAAAAGGGCATCCAGTTCCCCTGGAACTGGAGTTACAAACAGTTGTTAGCTGCCATGTGAGTGCTGGGAATTGAACCTGGGTATTCTGAAAGAGTAATCGGAGCTCTTAACTGCTGAGCCATCTCTCCAGCCCCCCTTGTATTTTTTTAAATATTTATTATTTTTATATTATGTGTATGAATGTATTGCCTGAATGTAAGTGCACCAGTATTGTGCAGTACTGGAGGAGGTCAGAAGAGGGTATCAGATCCCTTGGAACTGGAGTTATGGATGATTATTAGCCATGTGGGTGCTGGGAACCAAACCCAGATCCCTGCAAGAGCAGCTGTGCTCTTAACCAATGAGCCATCTCTCTAGCCCTAACCCCTTGTATTTTTTTATAATGATTTTTTTGTTGTTCAATTATTTTGGCTACATAGGGAGATCCTCTATCAAAAGCAAACAAACAAGAAACCAAAGGAAAGAGTGCAAATGCTTTGTCACATACCCACTGTGCTACGTGTCCCCTTTATTGTGCACAGTCATCATTTTTTTTTATTTTTCCTTTCAGAGTAAATTCCAATACCCGTGCACTCACATACATGTGGGCATAACACTCATGCACATAAAAATAAAAATAATAAAACTAAAATATTAAATTTTTTTCTTTTTAAGTTAGTGTCTTGCTATGTAGTCTAGACTGGCCTGGAATTTGCCATGTAGTCCAGGCTAATCTTAAACCATGACCCTCCTGTTTCCACCTCCTGAGCTCTGGGATTACAGGTATTTGCCACCATGTCTGGCATTTCAGGAATATTTTGTGAAACATCATTCAAAAAATTGTGTTTTGTGTCTTAATTACTATTGCTTCTCCAGTAACAAAATTCTAAATGGATTTTGAATAGATGTGCAGTGTTTTTATGAATTTAGTAACAGAAAGTCTTGCTTTTTTATAATACATACTATTTGCTTTTTAGTCATACTTTCAGCAGTACTCACTGCACAGTTACATATGCTATGGACTGGGCTACATATTTTTTGATATTTTGTTGATATTATTATTGCTTTTTTTTTTTGATGCCCAGGCTGGCCTAAAACTCCCTTTGTAGCTCAGGCTGGCTTTGGAATCCTTTTCCTCCTGCCTCTACCTCACAAGTGCTAGGATGATAGACGTGATCCACCATGCCTGGCTTGATCACTGTACTGAATTCTCCACTCTGTTTTGTAGTCTTTCAGTTGATTCTTTGTGTGTGTGTGTGTGTGTGTGTGTGTGTGTGTGTGTGTGTGCATGTAATATATATACTTGTTCATGTTTGCATGCACTTGCATGTGGAAGCCAGAGATTGACGTCTATATCTTTCTCAATTGCTGCCCACCTTATATTTTTGAGACAGGGTCTCTCACTGAGCCGGGAGCTCACTGGTTTGGGTAGACTAGCTGTGTAGCAAGCACCACAGGTCTTCCTGTCTCCACCTCCCCAGCACTAGGGTTACCACTGTGCCTGGCTTTTTACATGGGTGCTGGGGATCTGAACTCAGGTCCTTAAACTTACTCAGCAAGTACTCTACTAACTGAGCCATCTCCTCAGTCCTCAGTTGATTTTCTTAATGTTCCCAAGCTAATTATTCTCAATCTGCAAATAATACTTTCATCCCCCCTTCTGCTTTTTTTTTCTTTTTTTGAGGCAGGATCTCACTGTATAGTACTGACTTGACTGGAACTTACTATGTAGTCCAGGCTGGCCTCGATCTCACAGAAATCTGCCTGCCTCTGCCTCGAGTGCTGGGATTAAAGGCATGTGCTACCATGCCTGACTGCTTTCATTTTCTTTTGAATCCTTACATCTTCCTTTAATCTGACCTATTCTTTTAGTCAGAACTAGATCAAAGTAAAATGTTATAGTTCAGGCACTAGTGTCCTTTTCTTAGTTTTTCTTTCTGTTTTGTTTTTAATTTCCTTCATACTGTATGAATCATTTATTTATTTTTAATCATTAATACCAGGAGTTCTAGTTTTAGGTTTTCTAGCATCATATTTTTTCTTAAATTGCTAGAATAAATCCTACTTCATAATAGTATATCGTCCTTTTTAGTGTAAATCTGATTTTGCTAATGTTTTAAGGGAGTTTTTGTGATCCTAAGTGGGATTGTTGTGCAGTTTCCTTTCTTCAGTTAGTGCTTATGTCTAGGGTTGTGCTAGCTATAGTATAAATTCGATTTTTCTTTTTTTCTGTGCTCAGGAAGTTTCTGTTAATTATAATGTTTTTCTTGCTATCAAAGATTATTGTGTTTTGAAATTTTAAGAAACCCCACTACTTAGAAGTGATTACCTTTGACATTATAGTGTATTTAATTCCTGTACTAATTTTTTATTTTGGGTGACATCATTTTATGACATGACAGGAACATTTTATTACATCTGTATGTGTGTGTGTGTGTGTGTATGTGTGTGTATACTCACTGCCATGGCACACATGGAGAAGTCAGAGGATAACTTGTAGGAGTTTGTTCTTTCCTTCTACTATGAAGTTTCTGGGGACTGAATCCAGGCTTGTGGCAAGTGCCTTTGTCCTGTAAGCCATCTCTCCAGCCCTGGTTTCTTTCAACAGTTGGGGATACCTACAGTAAGAAGTTGAGAGTCGAGTCATACTTTAAAACTTAATACTTTTAAAGAGTTTAGTGTGTGTGTGTGTGTGTGTGTGTGTGTGTGCAGGTATGCCAGTTCATGCCAAAGCATGCATGTGGAGGTCAGAGGACAACTCATGAGAGGCAGTTCTCTCCTACCACTTTATGGGATCTGGGAATTAAACCCAGGTCATCAGGCCTGTGTGCAAGTGCCCCAACCTGTGAAGCGTCTTGCCAGCTCTGAGTCATACTTTTTTTAAAAAAAGATTTATTTTATTTATGTGTATGTGTGTTTATGCCATGTGTGGGTGGGTGCCCACAGAGGCCAGAAGAGGGTGTCAGATCCCTAAGAACTGGAGCTATGGGTGGTTGTTAGCCACCATGTGGGTGCTGGGAATCAAACCTGGCTCCTCTGCAAGAGCAGCCAGTGCTCTTAACTGCTGAGCCTTCTCTCTAGCCCCCCGAGTCATACTTTTAATGGCTTTATAATTTCATTTCTTCGGTGCTTTTGGTATTTAACTTTGTAAACTCTTCATTGGCCTGGTGTGTGTGTGTGTGTGTGTGCGCGCGCACTATGCTTTTTTAAAATTTTGTTTTGTTTTTTTGAGATGGGCCTCCCTTTGTTGCCCAAGCTGACCTTGAGTTCCTAGGTACAAGTGATCCTTGTGTCCTAGCCTCACAGGTATGCTACAGGTGCAAACTACTGCACCCAGCTTGTCTTTTTTGTTTGCTTGTTTATTCTTTACTCTTTGAACACTGTGGAGCTCTGCTTCCCTTCCATTACTCATCAACACTTTGGTTTTCACAGGTATTAGAACAAAGTTAGGCTTTTCCTGTCTGCTGACACCTCGGACAGTTGCTTGATTGTGTGACCCTCCTCATTTCCTCATCAAAGGAAGGGTGTCTGCACCCGCCTAAGTTATATAACTGCTGCTTTTAACAAGGCAGGATTGAAAACTGTGATAGTCTGCCTTTTTAATGTACTTCTGATTTCATCCACGGTCGAATATGTTTTCATTTAAATGGGTACTTTTATTCACATTTGCAAATGCCAGAGAGGGTCTTTCCCCCACCTCTTCTTCATTCTTTAATGTAACACTTTAGAGCCACAGACATTTCCTCTGGGTTTTTAGAGTGATTGGAGAAAATTCACATAGTCTTGGAAAAGGAGTCATGCATGGTTAACATTCCTCTCGTGTACAAAGAACACATTCTCTAAAACATTCACGTATTTATAAATATAACAGAGTGTTCAGAGACCACTCAGGACAGTAATGGGACTTGACACCTTGTCATCTGAAGCAGAGTTGAGGGAGCTGTGGGGTTTTGCTATTGAGGGAAGACTGGGTAACACAATTTCCTGCAGGCTCCAGGCTAAATAAATAGCATCAGGAGGTAGCAGCTCAGGGGACAGAATTCCAGCTGAGCACGAATGCAAACATGAATGTCTGTGTTTCCATGTGGACCAGGTTGTCATGGGCAGGTGCAACATGGGCACAAGTTCTAGGGGGGTAGCTGGATCAGGGGACTATTGAGGATTTTACAACCTGAAGTCTGCCCTGGAAGGCTAAGTGTCTCTTATAGGTCTTGGTTGAATTAGACTGTAAAGTGACAGTTACATGATGCTGCACCCCTGGATCAGCATACTTAGGATGTATTCTTTTCTTTCCAGCTTATGGTGACAATCAGAGCTTTGTTGCAGAATCTGAAGGAAAAGATCGCCCTTTTGAAGGACTTACTGCTAAGAGCTGTGTCAACACATCAGATGTATCCATGTAAACATTTCCACCTCTTTTCTAGAGTGGGAGGAAAAACAATCTTATTTTAAGAAAGGAAAGAATCTGGGCCACCCAGATTTTTCCACAGCTTCAGAGGACTTGGTTTCCTCACTATTGCCTATAATCTTGAATTCTATTTTAACTGTCTGTTACATGTTTTACAGTGAATTTGCTGGCAAGGAAAGACCAAAAGAACTTGTTTGGGTATAGCCTTTATGGGGCAGGAAGCTAACTTATTCTGTCAGTGCTGTTTATAGAGCTGTTGCATCACTTGCCTTGAGGATGGCCAGTGACTGTTCCAACTGCAAAACTTCCATGATTATCCTGAGCAGTGATTCCTTGATGGACTTTCCAGAATTTTTTTTTAAGGCAGGGTCTCATGTAGCCCAGGCTGGCCTTGAACTCACTGTGTAGCCAAGGATAACCTTGAACTTGCCTCCATTTCCTGAGAGCTGGGATTATAGGCATGTTCTGCCACACCCAGTTTTCATGTGGTACAGAGGATGAAACTCGGCCTTGTATATGGTAGGCAGGCACTGAGCTGCATCCCCAGCCCTCACATGCTCAGTGATCCTCTTTCTGTAGAAGCTAATACCAATAGACACTACATACCCTTTTGATTTTGTTTTGTTTTAACTGTTTATGTAGGCTATTGAGATGTGACTTGTTTCCTTTATTCTTTCAGGGGCACAGATACTGTGCCTAGTTTGAGAGCTTTTAGGGGTAGAGAGTGATTGAGACTTGATTAAAGCAAACTGGGCATCTTATTAACCCCCTGCCATTTGTCAATACTGAAGCATTTTCTTGAGCTGTGTGTGGTTACACTCAAGAGCCTGAGGCAAGAGGATTGAGTGTTAAAGGCCAGCCTGGGCTATATAGTGAGTTGGAGACCAACCTGAACTACATAGTGATGAGACGTTGTCTCAAAACATACATTTTTAAAAGAAACAATGATCTATGTAGGAAAATATTATATAAACTAACCCTTTAAACCTGAGTTTATATTGCTTTGAAAAAGACCTCAGTCTGTCTTCTCTTATTTTTCTAAATTGTCTGTCATTCATGCCAAAGACCTGACTTTTGGTATTAGAAGAAATGGTTATGTCCTGGCTTTAAATGTGGAAAAATGTATGGATGCAGCTTTTTAGACAAAACAAATAGAAGGTGTTTAAAAAAACTGTTTTCTTGACTGGAGAGTTGTGGCACAGTGGTTAAGAGCATTGGCTGTTCTTTCAGATGACCCAGGTTTGATTCCCAGCACCCAGTTGGCTAACAACTGTCTGTAACTCCAGTTCCAGGGGATCCGATGCCCTCTTCTGACCTCCACAGGCATTGCTTGACATGGGTGTGCCTACCTACATGCAGGCAATGCACTCATACACATAAAACAAAAATAATAAATAAAATACATTTAAAAACCTCACGATTTTCTCCAAAATGAAACATTTTATGTTAGCAGGAAGGTTGGTGTAGGTTAGTTGCATGATCTTCCAGATGTTCAATTATTAATCTACTAAGCTTTCAAATAAAAGTTTAATTTTAGTAAACAATTGAGGCCTTCTTTTCAACACAATTGGAATATTCTGGTACACTTAGTTTGTAATTCTACCCTCCACCTGGTATCATTTGTTACTGTCCCATTAGTCTGTTGCATAAAGAGCTTTTATTTCATCCAATCAACAAGTCTTAATCCACAGACCTCTAGCGGTTATAGATGGATGGGGCTAGTTGCTCTTTTTTCTGGAGTCAGTGCTGGAAGTTTGCCTATGAGGCCAAGTTACAGGCTCATTTTAGAGTAACCCAGAGCACATACATTAGAAAGGGGACTAAATATTGTCTCATGGTGTATCAGTACCTGTTTACTAACTTCATTAAGACAATTAATGATAATCTTTATATATTAAAACTATAGGGCAAGAGATATATAAATCAACAACTCTGTTAATAGTTCCTGCTGGCTATTAAAGAGAATTCTAAATATACCACAGTAATAATTGGCTTCGTTTTCCTAAATACTTACAGTCTGACTATCTGTTGAAATCTGTGGGATTTTGGTTTTGTGGTGATCTCAGAATTCCTTTCCAGACTACTGAATTAAGCAATACATTATAAAAATATGTAGGGACATTAATGTGGATAATTCAGAATTTCCTAAGAAAAATGTAAAAGCTCAACTGGATTATAAAAGTTTTTTAAGAAAGTCTTTCTTTTTTTTCCCCCAAATGATTGTTCTCTTTAGAGAAGATGGCATGCAGATAATTCATCACATGGGGGAGCTCCTAAACCTGTTTTCAGGGAGGCCATTTTCTTTTGATAGAATAGAAAGGAGATAGTGGCAGGATTCTGACAGCCTTTTTGTTTGCTTGTTTTCTTGGTGCTGGGATTGAACCCAGAGCCATGGACAGACTGAGCACATGCTTCCCAGCCCTAGGCAGCCTCTTTTTAATTTTCCTTCTATTCCCCCTTTTTCCTTCCAACCTCCTTCCTCTTCTCAAACATTTTTAGTCTCTGCTAGTTTTTCTCCAGATCCAAGCTATATTGATAGCAGCTCATTAGTCCTAATCACTTCATATTATTTATGTTTGCAGTTTCTTTTCTTTTTACAAATAGGGTAAGTAGGCCAGGTCAAACCTGGCACTTCTTGTCACTGATAAATTTGGAAAGAGAATCCAGCATGGCAGCAGAGTTTTACCCTGTAGAGAGGAGTCCGTGAGAGCATTAGGAACTTACCCTGGCCCCTGTAGCTAGGAATGGAAGCGTCATGTTTATGCATACGACCTCCTGGCCCCCAAGTCAGTTGTTTAAAGCTGAATTCTATGGTAGTGAAAATAAGTTGTCACCTGTCACCCTGGCATGCCTTTAACTCGAATCCTGTTCCTGATGTAAATCATCATGAACCTTCTTAACCATCAGATGAAGCAGCATTCACTATGGTTTGTTGGGTATGCTGTATGATGTAGAAATTTTGGCCAGAAATCATTGGTAGAATGACTTTTAAATTAGTGTTGGGTAACTTTGTGTTTTGGGTGCCCTTTTTAATGTGAATGTATAAATCCTACATTTCTTTACTGTGCTGCATAATTCAGAATTTATGGTTCTTTGCTTAACACATTTGTGCATTTTTGTATTCACGGAGTTTTCCAAAAAATAGTAGGAGGTACCAGAAAGATAAGTTGTAAGAAATTTAATATTTTCTTTATAATTACATTTGTGAAGTATAGGCATGAGATGTCACATTCTTTCCTGAAAAAGTATTTATCTCTTGGCAAAGATGAATGTGAAATCACAATGAAAGTTCTGTAGTTTTTAATCCACTAGTTTGCAATTGATAATTCCTGTGTCCAGAGTGTTTAAAATTGATGGAAACATTAGTCAAGTTTTTGTTTGTTTTTGAGACCCACAGAAACATGGAACCCACCATATAGCCTAGGCTAGCCTCAAACTACTGGCAATTCTTCTGCCTCAGCCTCCTAAGTGCTGGGATTATAGGCATGAGCCACCATGCCTGGCAAAGTATTCTCTTCTAGTCACAGCTTTTTGAGATAGGAATTACAGTTAACTCGATGGTTGAAAGAAGGTGTGTGCTATGGGAGGCTGCACCAAAAAAATCCTCAGAACTGACTTAAAGCTTGTCCTTTTGTTAGCTTTTCAAAGGTAGCACCTTCATCTTTTTTAAGAGAGTGAAAACAATCTCTTTACAAAGGTGCTCAGTATTAGGCATTTAGTGCCTTATGAGAAGGTCCGTGCAGATCATTTTTAAAAATTCTTTAACTTTCTTTAACTCTGTGTTGTGGGGAAAAATGATAGGCAGATAGATGTGATGATCACTGTGTAATAAGCCTGATGACTAGGTATGAGGAGGCTATGTAGATTCTAGAAACTTCCCTGGGGCTGCAGTGGGGATGAAACAGTTTTCCAACACTGTCTATCCATGACTGCATTTTCTGTGGCATCTGGGAACATGAGAAAAGTAAGAAGATGGAGCTTGTATTTAGAGAAATTTTATGATTTATAGCCTCAAACTATAGGCTTTGGCGTTAAAATCTTGGGGTTTAGGTAGTTTTGTATGTTGTTATATTGTTGATTTGTTGTTGTTGTTGTTGTTGAGACAGGGTCTTCCTTTAGCCCTAGCTGGACTGGAACTTGCTGTGTAGATCAGGCTGGCCTCAGTCTCACAGAGATCTGCCTGTCTCTCCCTCCTGAGTTGATTGGATTAAAGTTGTATGTTACCATACTGGCTGTTTTTGTTTTCTTTGAACATCCAGTTCGTACACTGTAAACTGTAATTGGAAATTCTAAATAACTGCTTGCCCCTGTCCCTAATTTGTTTGGGGTTATTACTGGTCCATGAAATCTGGAAGCCTGGCACCCTGGTGCAGTAGGAAAAACACTGGCTTTAGAACCACGCTGAACTAAGATTGAAGACCAACCCTGCGGATGGAGACCCAAGAGCAGTTCAGCCTTCCTTGGCCTTTGTTTCATTTTCTGTAAAGTGGAACTAATCCTCTTTTGCAAGATTGTTGTGAACGTTGAGGGAAATATTTTTAAGGCACCACACAGGACTAGTCCCTTCCATGGTGGCAGTTGTTGAGGAAAGGGTAGTCACCAGGGCCAGCTTCAGTGGGTAAGAGTGCTTGCCACCAAGGCCAACAACCTGAGTTCCATCCCCAAGGCTCACATGGTAGAAGGAGAGAACCAATCCCCATAGATTGTCCTCTGACCACCATGGTTGTATTGTGGCTTGTGCACATGCACACACTCACACACAAAATAAATGTATCATAAAAACCAGTTATCAATACTCACTACTGGGTTGTTCTGACCTCCCAGAGCCCATTTAAAAACAGAAAGTGAGCCATGAAAATCTCCTGGGTTCTCAACCCTCAAACTGTCTCCTCAGAGCTCCCCGTCAATGCATGAAGTGATTGCACACTTCCATCTTCAGTGCTGCCCTTTCAAGAGGGAAGACTAAATTCTTTCTAAAAGTTT